CAAAATCTCTTCTCTCGTTATTATATTATATATTATCATCATTACATATACTATATTAATCTCGATCGACCAACCAACCGACCAATCGGCTGCGCGGAAAAGAGGCAACAATGGGTGCGTTCAGACAACTCAACGGTTGAGAGATCATCACTTATGAAAGGACTATTCTTCAAAATTTGATGCGGTTCCAAAAGTACGATCCAATCATAAGTGATTATCTCTCAACCGTTGTGCAACTGTTGAGTTGTCTGAACGCACCCAATGGGTGCGAGATATTCGACTCCAATTGCTAACTTCTCGGTCCAAATGCCTTTTTTAATATAGGATATGTATACAAAGCTATATGGTAATGTTATACAAGGTTACAAACATCTATCGCCATCTGTAGTAAGAAGATGATGATAGGTGCTTCCCTCTCACGTTCGTCTTCTTCACTACGCTAAAGTGCCAGTAGCTACGTAGTATACATGTTTGGCCAAGACTTGTATATGACAATTGTCAAACTGAAGAAAGGAAGAAACATCGCGCTGAACCATGGACGGTAGTCAGTCGAAGAACACGGATTCGCAGTTCATATCCTTTCACGATTTTCCACAGATAAATCAAAATGTCAATGCCGAGGGACAACTGGGCACCGGAACTTCCGCTTCCCAGCCCTTTAATAACCTGCCAAATGATTCCACGGGCATCGGTATAATAGAGGATCTGCAAGGAATGCCCGATAAGAACGAAAGTTCGTGATTTAAACAACATATTCTATGAAAAAAATTTATATTTCTTGTAAATCGACAAATGTGTGTCGACGTTTAATTAACGTAAGTGGAGCTTCTAACACGCACTAATTGTCTCTTGTATTGTCACTTCTAGGTACTGCCCAACGTAACTTCTGGACGATCGAATATTATCAAAAGTTCTTTGATGTTAATACGGACGAAGTGCTGCAACGACTCAGTCGGTCTGTAATACCTCACGGTTCGGATTACAATCTTCTGACACACATAAGGTCAAAGCCAGATTTGTACGGACCCTTCTGGATATGTGTGACTTTGGTGTTCTGCATTGCGATCAGTGGAAACATGGCCAATTATCTGCAGACTGCCCGTTCTACCGACTATCACTGGCGATATGAGTTCCATATCGTGTCATACGCAGCCACTTGTATATTCCTGTACGCTTGGATTATACCGTTAGCTCTGTGGGGTGCGTTAAAATGGACCAACAGTTCGAGAAACACTGAAGAAGAACTGATTGAGGTTTGTCATGAAGTAGTTTGCTTTTTAAAAGTTTGATGTGGAATGTTATTTGTTGTACGCTCTTGCGTAATTTTTGATGATATTTTTTGTTTCAGTCTAACACTGTCCCTGGTCTTCTGGAACTCTTATGTATATATGGGTATTCTTTAACCATCTATTGTCTAGTAGTTGTTCTTTGGGCAATTCAAATTAGCTGGTTGCAGTGGAGTCTTCTGATAATATCGGTATATTTATCTGGAGGAGTTTTGCTGCGATCATTACTGCCAGCCATTGCAGGTAAAAGATGCGAATTTCAATATTAAAAAAAAGTTTGGTAACACTAAATGCAAGAGAAAAAAATATGATGTAAAACAATAAACTAAATGTATAAATTTTACAGGCAAACATAGAATTATATACATTGCTGTAATTTTGGGTATGCATTTATTGTTGGCAACGGGGCTTATGTTGTATTTCTTTCACGTGCCATCCAAGAGCGTAGTACCGCCGAGTGAACTAGTGACTTCCTCTACACAAGCTAATCTGTTGCATAAAGTGGCGCAAAATGTCACTCACAGCGCGGAGCCGACGTCAGCGTCTTGAAATGTGTCCACGACCAGATCTGACGGTGTGAAGCTTTGTTCTCCGAGAAACTATCAGGAAGATTTCTCCATTCCTGTGATAACGAACATTTTATTTAGAAGAATATTATCGCTCGATTTACTCGGTCAATAATCATGTAATGTTACCGCATTGATCAGCGTACCGATCCTTGTTTGTATAAAAATAAGTATTTATATGTTCTGTAAACAGTGTGTAAACTCTATATATATATATATATATATATATATATGAGATATAAACTTATAAGAATAAAATATTAATATCCCAAGGCTAAAAAATCGTCTACGTGTGTTTCGGGGGACAAGAGACACACAAAGACCGGGCGAAGTGTCTGGTTGATTTATTTCACAGCCCTACTGCAATATAGGGGCGCGTTACATCAACGCAACACACACATATATATAATTTACAATCATACGAAATAATCTCCACGACGTTGTACACAATGCGTGATCGCACGGTATATATTAATACTTATAATACAATAGATTGTTACATTATTAATCGCACATAAGTTCATTAGTATTTTGCTTCATTTTTTTTTACCGATGTGACAAAAGGCAACATTTATTTTGTAGTTGTTATCGTTAATGTTATTATCTCGTCGGTGTATTTTTAATTAAATACATATACCATGACACACTAATAATTCGCTCGCGCTGCGCTCACGGTGGAGAAATCGCAGACATGATCGATCGTTGCTACAAACTGGTGAATGACGAATGCACGTGTGCACTGTTTTGACCGGGCGCTTGTTAATTAATGCCGCTTCATTTGGAGAATCTCGCGAGACAATTTAACGTACTGAAGACACAAGTAAATCAAAGAAGAAGAGAGAGAGTCGCAATAAAGAAATTTAGCTCTGTTTATCGATAGACGATGCTGCGTGTAGAATTGTAGAAAATAGAAATCCGACGCGTACACAGTTAATTGAAAGTTAATTGAAATCGGATAAAAATCGCTAAAGAAATGATCTCGGTGAGAGATTCGCTTGCTAGTCTCTTGTCTTCTTTTCGATGTGAGCGTTGTATGTTATTTATGTTAATGTATAAAATACGAGATTTCTACAGATAAAAGCCTAGAATTACACATAGAGGTCGAGCACCTGTTGCATTACGCTATATCTCTCAATCGTATAAACTCGATCGTGATGCACAATTTTTTTTTTTTTTTTACTTCAAAAAGCAATACTTCTGGAAACATGGACAAATCACGCGCTCCGTCGTCGCGTTTAAAAGACATTATAGACGTTGATTAACTCTCGATAACTATTTTATATATATATATATATATATATATATATATATGTTTATATATATATATATATAAATTTTGTTTCCCTTTCTCTAAATATACGTACATTAGATAGAATACCATATTATTACAAACTAGCGCTATGTGACCCTAGTAGTAAGACATTTAATCCTTATACAAACATGATATACGAATAAGGAATCTATAGTGTTTTTTTTTTTTTTTTCGTAACGGGAAAAAGGCCAAACATCGTACGTCTCTAAACACATAAATATTTGTTTCTGTTTTTTTTTTTTTTTTTTTGTTTTCATCTTCTTTTCGTTAATTGCGGTGCTCGACGATGAGAGGCTGTAACGGTGTTGAAAGTTTACAGCTAGTGCTCACAACGACGTTGGTCCGACGTGATTTTTTTTTACGAGATATATTGCAGTCAAACATTTGCGAATAGGCAGGAACAATAATATAATGTAATAATAATAAGTTAATAAATCTACGACAGTCTAGTACCGAGTTTTTTTTTACTGCACCTTTTTGTTTGTTCTCTCTGTTAATTTTTCAACGTTACACACGTTCCTACTTTTTTTCCTCCTCCCTTTCATATATATATATATATATAATCCTTCCCATTTACATGTTCCTCGCGCAATACGTAGCACGTGTTCCGACGGCTGCAAAATGCGATCAATGTGAGAAATATCGCCGTCGTTTATTTACAATATAATCATGCGTTTGCTTAATATAATACATAATAATTGTTTCTTTCAATGTTTCGTAACTGCGTATGTGAGACGTATCTTATGGAATCGCACGTGCGTTAACGTATTACACACATACACATAGTAATATATATATATATGTATATATATATATATGTACCCTGATTTTATCTCAATTATTACATTACAAATGTATAATAAGTATGTAACAAAGCTCGTAAGTAACGTATTCAATTTATATATGTACCAATTCGCTACGTACACGCGTGAATACATACGTACACATGCAGTGGACTCTGACGTTACATATGTAAAGTGAAAATACGTCCTTTACGATCAAACTATACATTTTACGAGCATATATATATCCCTACCACACTTCTTTTTTTTTTTTTATTACAGTAATTTCAGGTTGATTATTCAGTCGCATACTTAATTAATATATTTACGTAATCTGAGACTTTTATGTAACAACTTATGTGATTATTAGATTCGACGCCAAGTCATACGTGATGATGATAACGAAAAGGTAGACAATTCAGCGTCTACGTTTAGCGTTTTCAGGCTCGACTGACACGGACTATCAGTCTTCCTTTCGGTTTTGTTTCCTTTTTTTTTTTTATACATATATAAAATGCTGTTTATCAAAAAACACATTGCGGAAATTATAATATGTAAATCAATCGTGAAATATACATTTCATTGGCGAGTTCTTCTTCTATCCGCTAACACTATTTACAATAGCTTTCCTCTGAGGCGTAAAGTGTATGAAGACATTGTCTTGAATGAAGCGTGAGTGAAACAATTAAATGTTAATTAACAGAAGGATTAATTTTAACACGTGTCAGGCTATGTGAAAGATTTCTATAGTTTTTTTTTAAGACAGTTTTGTTCTAAGATATTAATAAACTTTCTTTGCTATTACTCTTTCCTGTTACTGGCTATATATAAACTTTTATTTTGTTTCAGTTTTGTTTTCATGCTAATATATATGTATTTTATATGCATAATATATTTATATATTTAAAGATATTTAATAAGATATTCAATAAGATTTCTGTGTGTGTGTGTGTGTTCGTGTTTAGCTAAAACAATGCGACACGAATAAAATGTAGCAAGTGAAAAAATTATTTTTTTTTTTTTATTCAACGGTGTGTGTTCAAGAATTGTTTTTATTATTTCTTTATCGAAAGTTTGTTTTTCTGTAGTATTGATATGTTCTGCATTCAGGAAATCTACTATTGTATAGAATTAATCAAACAAGCAGGTTGTTAAGAAAAACACAAGCGATGCAAGCGATAATAATCAAAAATTAACATTCGAATATATACTTGATATAAGCATGATTTTAATTTAGAAGATTTCGAAGACAGTTAAAATGTTTTCATACGACGTCGAAACTTGATCAATATAAAGATTACGACAAAGAAATTTATATATGTATATATATGTATTGTTATAGATTCGATATTTGTTACCAGTACGTTAATATTAGAGTAGAAATTCTTATGCGCTAAACGGATGAAAAACTATGGAACTTACGAAGAGAGAATGTATATCTTACAGGCTCGAAGTTTCAACACTCTCTCTCTCTCTTTCTACTCAGGTCGACTTTCTCGTATTGTAATATATATCTCTACCGTACGCGAGTTTTTTTTTTTTTAAATCCCCTATAACGACTTTATCAAATTCACAATTAACATCATTCTATTAGCTTAAAAATAGAAGAAAAGTGTGTCGAAGTGTGTGTTCGATCAAAGTCACGTGACACAGCACAGCGAAGTACAGAAAGAATCTGGCGAAACGCTGGAAACGAAGCATCCAGTATATAGTTTTCTCCCTAAAGTCACATTATTAATTAATCGCGCTACTGAATTCGATGCAATGTCATATAAAAAGGGACGATTGTTTTTTTTTAGTTTTTTTTTTTTTTTTTTTTACGTGTTTCACGCCTAAACGAATTTCTCGTCTATGTTAGTTAGAAAAACGCGAGGTTCTTTTGATCAATGTCTCATTTTGATCACTTTCTTTCGGTGAAAACGATTACTTTGATTGTGGACTTATTAGAGACATACATAGAACAGGTACGTAAGAGTTAAACACTTTTTTTTTTCTTCCTACATAGTCGCCTGTCTCGAAAAGAGCTTCCATTTCCGAGATCGCTGTGTTGCAACACTGCCACCGGATAAACTTGTCCAGCAAAATGTCAGAACAGTCGATTTTCGTGCGACAAACTGCTGAATTTTTTTTGTTTTTGTTTTTGTTTTTTTAGGCGTATTTAGTAACTGCTATTCTCAGTTCTTGGCTATAAGAATTGCAAATATTAATTGACATTTATATGTATATATGTTTACGTTGAAGCAAATGAAAAATTGTCGCAGTTACGTGAAACACGAAACTCCGATCTCCATTTTGTTTGAAATACGCGAAAGTTCATCATTTACATTAAAAAGAGTGTTTTTGAACAAGCACATCTTTTCACACAAGCAGATTCGGGAAGAGTTTACAAAAACAAAGATGATAAATATTCCATTTGAACTATATGAGTCTGTCGTCAGAAAAGTGCTCGAGCAATTAAATGAACTAATGATTAAACGAAAGAAACGTGCGGCTTAAAAGGACACGGGGAAAGTGTTCCACACACAGAGGAAGGAGGGACGTTGGCTACTAATTGCAGGATGTTTCGAACAGGAAACGGGAATTCTCGACTACACACAATTGTGGAAAGTGTGTTGATTGAATAAAAAAAAGAGAGTGCGCTTAACACTACTGAACTCAGTTCACAGATTGTCCGCGATAACACGCGGACATCCGCATTTATTATTATTGTTATTTTTTTTTTTTTTGCGAACTAAGACATAGTGACGTCTGTTGCGCGTGTGTAACCTAATCTCCGTTAAATTAGTGTGTTCCAAACGTGTTTCTTTATTTCTCATTCTTGTTCTCATTCGCGTGTTCTTTCGCGTGTTCATCATCGCTCTTTCATTCCCTCCCTCTCTCAGTTCTCTCGTGTCTTCTACGTCGCGATATAATATAAATTTCGAGAATACACTCATGCCGGCTCCGCGCAGATACAACGGAGCCTCTCAGCGATTCTTAAGCATTAGTCTTTAGTGTTTGATTATTATACTAGTAATATACAGAAAATGTGTGTGGCTCTCGTCGAGACCGATAGCTCGCGCACTCACGTTGTTCTCGCGTTCTCGCGCGTTGTTCCGTAATCTCGCGCGCAGTTTCGAG